TTCAATTAATTACTGTAAAGCAGAAAGTTGAGATGATTGGTTTTATAACCTACCTAAATTACAACAAATTTAATTAATAAAAATAAACTAATATGCAATATTAAAGATGAAAGGAAAACAAAACTGTTTTGGAAAAATCAAATTAAGAAAACACTAGGGTTTCACCATCACCTAGCAATCCTATGTATTTTTATCAATTACTTATGATCTATACATGCCACTTTGAAGGTTAGGTTTTCCTAATTTATATTCTACTTGGAACCTCCAACATAGAACGTATATCTAACATGCAACCCGTCCGGACGTTTGGATCAAATCTGAACATGAGAGACTCATTATGCTTTATGAAAACCCTTTGAAAAACCATGCAACTCTTAAGATGTGGTGTTCATCTTAAGTGAAATTACAATTATTAATCACAAGAAGCCAGCATCAATTTCAGGGAACCTTCCGACCAAAATTGCATCAAATTACTTTTCTAAAGATCCTAATGGTGATCAGGCATTAAGACAATTAGATAGTTTTAATTACGGTGATCAATAATTCAAGGTATGCATGCAATCAATCATAAGCAATTAAATAAAAATCACATATTCCTGCTAAGGCTTACGGCTTCACCCTAGCAAAAGGAATTAGTTACACATATTCATAATTGAAATCATAGAACATATTATTAAGAATAAAAGGAATGAAAACACTTAAAGTAGAAAATCTCCAAGAACCCTAGCCAAGTTCTCTGTCTCCCAAAAGTTGCATAAAAGAAAAGCCCCCAAAATTTAGAACGGCCAAGCCTTTTTAATATCTCCCTAAAGCTAACACACAAACCCTAACCCTCAAGTATTTTATTCCCACTAAGAAACTAAATAATAATAAAATAAAATAGAAAATAAATTCCTAATTAACCTAGGAAAAACTGCACAGAAACTGTTCAGCCACGTTTTAGCCTCAAATCTCCTCCAAATCCGGCCCAAGATAGCTTGTTTTAAAGATAAGAACATTCTGAACACATCTCCAGAAGGCCACAAACCCATCTGAGGTCATCTTGGGCTCACAAAATGCAATTCAAGCCCGAAACGTCACTATTCCAGTACTGCACATTGCTCCTTTATTTTATTAGCAGAAAATATTCGCTTGGTAGAAAAATCTGATATTTTGACACGATCAAGCTAAGTGACTCACGAACGTCCTCCAATTGGAATTACTCCAAAATTCGTCCATTTGACCATGCTTTGCTCCAGAGGAAGTCGAAAATCCTATATTGGAAATATAATTCAAAGTATTAAAATTCTTCCAAATTATTAACCAAAATATACTAAGAATAGGGTAAAATATATAATATAAAATATACTCATCAAAATACCCCCAAACTTAGCTTTTTGCTTGTCCTCAAGCAAAACAAAACTAGAAAACAACAATAAACACTAACAAACTAGAACTTAACTAAAACTAACTGACAAAAATTTTCACCTTCAAAGTTGCAATCCATAGAAAATGTTAAAAATTAGAACATCTTTTCAAAAGTTCCAACCAATCCCACCACAGAGTCTAAGCCATTTAGAATCAATTAGAAAAGAATTCACGAACTTCCTTTGGTGTAAAGTGAATCAACATAGCTAAGGAGACTCGACTAAAACCCTTACCTCTTGTCCTTCTTTATTTCACTCATACTAGCTTTAAATATAACTATTTTTCTTTTTCTTCTTGATCTTTTTTTTTTCTTTCTTTTTTTTTTTTTCATATATATATATATATATATTTTAGTAACAGTAGTGGTCGTGCAATGCCGGTTCACTTAAGCTTTCGATCCAACCCATGTAGCGAGCTTTAGGTCAATGACTCCCAAACCACTAGGGCTTTAGGGCATTAGGTGTAGAACACCCCTAAGGACTTATTAACCCGAGCTGAAAAGGCTACGAAACCAACTAACCACCCTGCCCCATGCCAAAACTCTACTGTTTGACGCGAGAATCACTGCTGATTAGGCAGGACTGGCCCGGTTACTAGGCAAAGTCTCGGGTGAGACAATTATTACTTTATAACACAAACTAACTTTACTTTATGTAGAACAAAAATTAAAAGTGAAACTTAGACTAAAAGTAAGTGTTTCAATCTCACTCCCCACAAGCCATGTTGATGTGACTGTGCAAGTTGTCAAAGTATAATTCATGAATTAGTGTCTAAGCAACGATAAGTAGAAAAGACTCTAATGTGGGATTAATCTTCACCATGTCCATTTGTTATAACGTTTAAAATAATCTATGGATATTAACTTATAAAGAATGAAAATTTTAACTTGACACAAAAATTAAAAACCTAAAATGTTATTTCCCACCCCCAAACTTATTTCACACTTTGTCCTCAAGGTGTGGAAAATAAATAAGAGACAAGAACATAGACAAAACTACTAAATCCTAGAAAATGTAAAACAAGAATAAAAAATAAAGAAAATACTCTAAACAAACAAAATAGAAAAGAGAAACAATAAAAGAAAATAAAATAAAACAGAAAATAGAAAATAGAAGAAAAAAAAATAAAAAAAAAAATGCAAAGACACACCTGGGCTTGACAAACGTTGGGCCATGAGACACATGGCCAATTGATTACCATTCCGCAAAGCAAAGGTCCAAGGGAACATTGGATTCCCCATGAGATGGTTTTAATGGCATGCAACTGGCATGATAATTGGAAAATGGCGTGCGCAGGTTCCCATGTCTCAACCCCGAGGACGAAAAGTCACGATCAGTCTTCAATCTCTGTCAGTCAGAGCCAACGGCTCTCTACCTCTCCATTTGAAAACCACCCTCCTCAGAAAGGCACGGAACACACATGATTTAGACAGATGGCACGCATCCGGGCAATGAACTTCTTTGGATTCCCATTACAAATGCATCTCATCCGCCCATTTTTATTTCAGATTATTTTGTGAGAAATCCTAGGCCTCTCTCTCAACCCAAGCACACCTCCATATCAGAAATAGCTTTCCCATTTTTCTTTCATTTTCTCAAAAAAACGCAAAGAGCCTTCTGTTCTCTTTAGAAAATCAGCCCCCTCATCTTTCTCAGCACGGTCACACCAGCGCTCATTATTACAACCCTTACATCTCACAGCAGCTTCTTGATCCTCTCTAAGTGCTGCATCCGTAGCTTTCCATAACCCAGCAACAGACACTCCTCCGTGAGTACCCATCCATGGTGGAGTAAGCATGAAAACCGAGATGAATGAAAGTAAATCCCTCTTCCATGTGTGTCTGTATTTATTTTGTTTCCTTTTCAGATTTATGTGGTAAACTAACACGTGCATGTGGTTTCATCTGTGTGAAAACCCCTAATTGCTGCAAATCCGAGACAAACAACACAAGAAATACACCCTGAGTCGCCAGCTTTTCTCAACCAAACAGTGTGTCGCCCAAATTCAAACCATCACGGATTCGAGTTCCATTCATGCAGATCGAGACCATTTCGCACATGCAACGGTAATCATCTTCTACTTGATTCAATATACATCTCTCTCGGTTAGCGAAAATGCTCTGAGAGCTATGTTTTTGTGATGAATCTCTGAAGAAGCTGACACTAATGTTTTTCTATATTAGATACCCGAGATTCACAAAGAGACTGAAAAGACCCACTCGAATAGTCCCCAAACTCACGGATCTACAACTTTTGAGGTAAAAATCGTAACCCTTTTGATTGATCGAGTGTGATCTGGTATTTTAACAAGAAAACCACTACTGTGACTGAAAAAATAATACTCAAATCCAGGGTAGAGCCAGGAGAAAACAACCCTTCAGCTGCCGATCCAGTGGCCCTAGAAGTCAAAAATAAACAGCAAAGGCTTCGGCCACGGAAAATGAGACGGTAAAGATCTCGTTCATCTGCTTTCACTTAGCTCAACATTTACGGATTCAACTTCATTTCATTTATGATGCCATATTTACCCTGTATACACTCCCAAAATGACTTTGTAAGAACTGAAAACATACATGCGCTGTGTGTAGGGATATGCAGATCCATGACAGAGCCGAGGGAAAAAGGAAGTAAACACACAAGCTCGCTGGTCAAAACAGGAAAGGCCCTCATGACCCAGATCTGTGTATCTGGGAGGTAAAATATCGAATCCCTGCAAGTTTAGTTGTTGTAGATCTGGTAATAATAGCTGTACTCAGTTCTGTGGTGTATGGATATGTGATTCAACTGTGCTTCTATCATCCATGCATCGCAAAACTGAGCTGCAGAAATGTAACTGCTCAAAAATATGTTTCTGCGTTGGATCTGCAACAATCACCCCCAAACTTGCCTCTGTGAATGACTTCATGCTGATTGCTTTAAATTTCCAGCATAGTGTTGATGTGGTGATGTTACTGTAGATTTTCCGCTGGGTGCATGATTCCAGTATAGGATGCTTTTTATTTTCCATGCGCTGCAACCTGTAATTAACCAATATGCGTTAAAAAAAATGAAATTAACTGGGTAAATAAACAAAGCAACGTATTTTTGATTTTTTTTTTATATTTTTTTTATTTTAAAAAAGAAACTTAGGTATGTAAATGCATCTAGAAATTTCACTAATAAAAAAAAACGAAAAGTAAAGTAAGGAAAAAGTTTAGAAAAATTGGGTTGCCTCCCAATAAGCGCTTTATTTTAAGTCTGTAGCTAGACGTCGCAGAAGCCTGGTGGTCAGATCACTGGTTCCTTCAGAGTCATAGACTCGCTTGCACCAAATTTCCCTATGCATAGCTTTAGTAAATACTTCTTGACCTTGAGCACACAACCCTTGCCCTCTTTTTCAATGTCCACGTTATCGTTATGAAAAACCTGCTTCACCATATAAGGGCCCTTCCACCGAGACTCTTGTCTCCTTGGAATTGACTTGAAATTTGAACTTAACAACCATACTTTGTTTCCAGGCTGTATTTTTTTATGACTTGGACTACCATGCAACTTTTTATTCTTGCTCTTGACATTTTGGTGTTTTTGGTCCATCTGGTTGCTCGGATCTGTTTTTTATTTTTGCACTTCCAACAATTGAACTTTGTGTTGCTGTGCTTTACTATCACACTCACGAATCACATTTTGAGTCTTTATCGGCAGATTGTCAATTGATGATCTGGTCACAAATTTGGCACGAGGCAAACCATCTAATGCATCAACACGCATGCATTCTTGTTTATCACATGGATGTGTGGTAGCTTCAAACAACCTAAAAACAACCGTTTGATCTTCCACCCGGAATGTTAGAGTTCCGGCTTCCACATCAATAAGAGTCCGGGCTGTTGCCAGGAATGGACGACCCAAAATGATGGGTGTTGTCAAATCCTCATCCATGTCCAACACCATAAAATCAGCTGGTAAATATAGATTGTCAACCTTAACAATAACATCTTCAATGACTCCTCTAGGGTAGGTAATTGAACGATCAGCCAATTGAATAATGTTGGAGGTTGGCTTCAGCTCTCCTTCACCTAAACGTTTAAAAACAGAATAAGGCATTAAGTTTACACTAGCACCTAAGTCAATTAAAGCACTACTAAAATCACAATTTCCAATGGTGCAAGAGATAGTAAAACTCCCTGGATCTTTCTTCTTTGGAGGCAATTTATGCAATAAGACTGCATTGCACTGTTCTGTTAGAATCACTTTTTCGGAATCTAGAAGCTTCTTTTTCTTTGTGCAAACGTCTTTCAAAAACTTGGCATAAGATGGAATGTTCTTAATTGCATCAATTAATGGTAGATTAATTTGAACTTTAGCCAAAGTCTTCATAAAATCTGTCAACTGTTGATCTTTAGCTTTAGGCCTCAACCTTTCAGGATAAGGCATTGGAGGCACATAAACACGTTCTGTAGTTTTTGTGGTAGCTTCTACAGTATTTTCGGATCTGTCTTGTGGTTGCTGTGAATTTGCAGAATCTGCAGAATCATTTTCATGTATGTTGTCATAACTTTTGCCAGACCGTAAAGTCCGTATAGCGTTGCATTCTTCTCGTCCTCTTGGATTAGGTACTGTTTGACTAGGAAATGTACCCGGTGCTCTTTCTGAAACCTGCAACGCAATCTGCCCCATTTGTTTTTCCATATTTTTCATCATAGCCTGCAAATTTTGGATTTCTTGACTGGTAGTATTCGCTAATTTTTCAATTGCAACCTCCCAAGCAGCCTTAGGTGCAGTCGATTGCTGCATCTGCTGTTGAAATTGTGGCCTAGGGTGCTGATCTTTATCCCACTTTAAATTAGGATGATCTCTCCAACCTGGGTTGTAGAAATTTGAATGTGGGTCATATCGGGGACACTGAAAATTATTAAATGCATTAACCTGCTCCGCTGTAAACTCTGGATAAGCATCTTTATGTGGACAGTTAGAAAAATCATGAGTTGTCATGCTGCAAATGGTACAGGCAGCTTGTAATGACTGCTGTTCAGCAACCTGTGAATTTGGAATTCGTTGTAACAACATGTCAAATTTTGCATCAAGCCTTTTTTCCATTTTCTCAATTTGTGCGGTAAGATATGGGGAACTGTTAGACATCTCAAAAACAGACCTAGATTGCGGTTGCTCAACTGCCCATTGTTGTGTATCTGCTGCCATTTTTTCAAATAATAAACAAGCCTCTTGTGCATTTTTATCTTTGTATGAACCTCCGCATGAAGCGTTAACAAGAGTTTTTGTAGTCATATTTAGTCCTCTGAAAAATATGTGAATTTGATCTGTACTGTTAATACCAGAATGTGGACATTTTCTAATCAACTCTTTGAACCGTTCCCACGCCTCATGAAACTCTTCATTCGGTTTTTGTGCAAAAGATAAAATCTGAGTTCTCATGTCAAGAGTCTTTGAAGCTGGATAATACTTGCTTAAGAATTTTTCACTGAGTTGGTTCCAAGTGCTAATGCTTCCAAATGGAAGTGTGAGGAGCCATCTCCTTGCTTGATCTTTCAGAGTGTATGGAAATAAACGAAGTTTAATAGATTCGGCTGAAAATCCTCTCACCAAAATATTCTTGCATCCCATTAAAAATTCTGCAATGTGCATGTTAGGATCGTCGGTTGATAACCCATGAAATGTAGGTAGAATATTCAACATGTGCTGCTTTATTTCGAATGCAGACCCTTCCTCTACATCCGGATAAGTAATGCAACTTGGTATGTTAGTGGCATGAGCTGTTAATGAATCCCTTAATGGTTGACCACCCTCTGGAATAACAAATGCCATTGTGTTTTCACTGTGCAGATCCTCAGAAAACAAAGATTGTAGAAAACCCACTGCATATTTTGTTTCTTGCGTCTCCTCCTTAAAGATTGCTCAGGTTCTGGATCAAATGGAATCAACTTTTGTGCTGCTGATCTAGTTCTGACCATGCACAGATTGTTGTAATCTGCAGTACTGCTGTAATCTGTAAAAATAAAATAAAAACGAAATGTAAATTTTTTTTTTTTATGTGTATAGACAACAATAACTAACTGTAAATTTGATTAGAACGAATTATTTTAAATAATCCCTGGCAGCGGTGCCAGTTTCTTGATAGAGATTTTACCATACATGCAAACGGGTTAAAAACTCCTATATTACTTGCAAGAATGACAAGGTTGTTGTAGTATAAACGGTTCTCGCAAAGTCGTTCTCCACAGGGATTATTAAATAATTCGAAACAAACTAAATTTCAATTAATTACTGTAAAGCAGAAAGTTGAGATGATTGGTTTTATAACCTACCTAAATTACAACAAATTTAATTAATAAAAATAAACTAATATGCAATATTAAAGATGAAAGGAAAATAAAACTGTTTTGGAAAAATCAAATTAAGAAAACACTAGGGTTTCACCATCACCTAGCAATCCTATGTATTTTTATCAATTACTTATGATCTATACATGCCACTTTGAAGGTTAGGTTTTCCTAATTTATATTCTACTTGGAACCTCCAACATAGAACGTATATCTAACATGCAACCCGTCCAGACGTTCGGATCAAATCTGAACATGAGAGACTCATTATGCTTTATGAAAACCCTTTGAAAAACCATGCAACCCTTAAGATGTGGTGTTCATCTTAAGTGAAATTACAATTATTAATCACAAGAAGCCAGCATCAATTTCAGGGAACCTTCCAACCAAAATTGCATCAAATTACTTTTCTAAAGATCCTAATGGTGATCAGGCATTAAGACAATTAGATAGTTTTAATTACGGTGATCAATAATTCAAGGTATGCATGCAATCAATCATAAGCAATTAAATAAAAATCACATATTCCTGCTAAGGCTTACGGCTTCACCCTAGCAAAAGGAATTAGTTACACATATTCATAATTGAAATCATAGAACATATTATTAAGAATAAAAGGAATGAAAACACCTTAAAGTAGAAAATCTCCAAGAACCCTAGCCAAGTTCTCTGTCTCCCAAAAGTTGCATAAAAGAAAAGCCCCCAAAATTTAGAACGGCCAAGCCTTTTTAATATCTCCCTAAAGCTAACACACAAACCCTAACCCTCAAGTATTTTATTCCCACTAAGAAACTAAATAATAATAAAATAAAATAGAAAATAAATTCCTAATTAACCTAGGAAAAACTGCACAGAAACTGTTCAGCCACGTTTTAGCCTCAAATCTCCTCCAAATCCGGCCCAAGATAGCTTGTTTTAAAGATAAGAACATTATGAACACATCTCCAGAAGGCCACAAACCCATCCGAGGTCATCTTGGGCTCCAAAAATGCAATTCAAGCCCGAAACGTCACTATTCCAGCGCTGCACATTGCTCCTTTATTTTATTAGCAGAAAATATTCGCTTGGTAGAAAAATCTGATATTTTGAGACGATCAAGCTAAGTGACTCACGAACGTCCTCCAATTGGAATTACTCCAAAATTCGTCCATTTGACCATGTTTTGCTCCAGAGGAAGTCGAAAATCCTATATTGGAAATATAATTCAAAGTATCAAAATTCTTCCAAATTATTAACCAAAATATACTAAGAATGGGGTAAAATATATAATATAAAATATACTCATCAACACTCCCACTGAAAATGCCCTAATTCATGGCAATTATAGCACTCTAGGGTTGACTTGTCAAACCCTTTACCCCATCCTCTTCCTCTTCCTCGAGAGGCCCCGCGACCTCGTCATCCTTGCTGGACTCCATGAGTGACTTGGAGAGCCTATTCATCCGTCACATGTTGACTTATCCTTTGCTCATGGACCAAAAGACTGCTTTGAACCTCATCAATAGATAAGGTATCCAGATCGTTGGACTTTTCAATGGAACAAACAACATAGTCAAACTTCGAGATCATGGATCTCAAAATTTTCTCGATAATCACCACATCGTCCATCTTCTCCCTATGAATTCTCATCCTATTTGCTATGGCAAGTGTTCTCCCAAAATAATCATTAACGGTTTCTCCATTCTTCATGTGCAGCACCTCAAACTCCTTGCGAAGAGCCTGCAATTGAGCACGTTTTACACATGTAGTTCCTTGATATTTTTGCTTCAAAGAGTCCCATATATCCTTCGCAGTATCCTTCTTCAAGATGGTCTCCAATATTGATCGATCTATGGCTTGGAATAAATAGTTCTTCGCCTTCAAGTCCTTCAGCTTCAGTTCATCCAGAGTCTTTTTCTGTACTTCACTGGATTTCGAGCTTCCTACTGCAGCAGTGATCCCATTCTCCACCAAGTTCCAATACTCATTGGAATGAAGAAAGTTTTCCATCAGCATACTCCAATGATCGTAGTGACCATTGAACCTTGGAATGGCTGGTTGCACGAAACTGTTCTCGGACGCCATGTCTTTATTTTTTTTTCACTCTAGCACCTAGGTTGCAAACTTTTGATTAGGCCCTGTAGTGGGGCTCTGATACCAGATGTTAGAACAAAGGAAAGAACACAAAAGCTTCTGCAATGCAACGCTGAGAACTTTCACAAACTAGGGAGAATTCTTATTAAACAAGGAAACAAACATTACAACTATTAAATAGCCTTACACTTGACACGAAAAGAGATAACAACTGCCCACGTTTTTACAGCCCTATAATCGTGGTAAAGACGACGTCAAAACAGAAATGCATACTTGTCCATCAAGAATAGGGATTATTGAATAACAACCCTAAAAACTAGGATCCCTAGCGATGACTGGAACCCTAACGAAAAACCCTAACAACTTTAACGACGAGAACTGCGACGTGGGATTTAACCACCCTCCACGTTCTACTAACTACCAACCGTATCAAAAACGTCCACTCCCTCACCTTCCTCCCTTTCCTTCTCCTTGAACAAGCTCACTGGTCTCTCTCTCTTCACTTTCTCTTTGACTCTCTCTCTCGCTCTCTTTATAAGCCAACTTTGACAGAAACTACGGTGTGTTTGTGAATGCAGGGAAAAGGAATTCGCGGAATTTAGTTTTGCGCGGGCATAGTTGGGCTTTGAGAGCAAGTCGTATAGTTCCGGTTTCTAAAGGTTTAGGATATCACACAATCTATTGGGAGCAGTCTGGAAATCCCAATGGCCGTGTCTAGGTACATGTTCAAATTTTGCTCTTCTGATTTCTTCATTCATTTATTCTTCCCTTACTTTATGGTAGGATCGTATAAATCTTTCCTAGAAACCGTCCATATCTGAAACTCTGGAAAAAAAAATTTGGGTTGCTTGACAATTATCACCCTAAACTTGATAACATCAACGCCATGGAAGCCTGATTATAGCATAAACAATACTTTCAACTTTGAAGATGCATCAACTCTTGGAATTCATTGGTCTACTCCCCGACAGCAGTTAAGAACAATTGGGAAGTTAGTTTTCTTTTTATTTTGAATTTCAATTTTGGTCAGAGTTGGGAATTGTATTGGGAAAGAAAACAAGTCCAATAAAAAAATGAGTATGAAATTTTGGGGTGGTTTGTTGGTTGTACGGTAAGGTTGGGGATGGGATGATTGGGTTGGGTTTAGAAGAGGTTGATTTCGAGGAGAAGGGTGGAGGAGGAAGTCATAACAATAAAAGACTAAAAAGGCTACCACATAATTCTTTAAGACTTTTCCTCAACTGGGTTCGCTGCTTTTCTTTCTTTCATTTCAAAATTTGGTTGAAATGGATAAAAATCAATGCATGTACTCAAGGTTTTGTTTGGTGTCTTTGTTGAGTTTCAGAACTTTCCTCTCCGGTTTTCTGATTATGTTCTCAATTAGGATTATTTCTCACCAATTTCCTTTGAGATTTGTGCGTGTGTTTGTTAATGCTGTGTTTCTTCATTTTAACAAGAGATGGAACTACTCTCTTCCTCTTCTTGGTACCCACGTATGCCCTCTTTCTCACATTCCTTCATTTAGGGTCTAAAGTTGATGCCTTTTTGCGTAAAATATCATTTTGTTCAGTGGCTTATCGTATGTTGGTTCTCTGCACATTCTGCATAGTTTAGAAAGCAAAATCTCTAGCTCTCTCTTCATTTTTGTGGCTAAAGGTTGTGTTTTTTGTGTCATAAATTTGATTTTGTTAAATGGGTTATGTATATCTGTTGGACAATAAAAAAAATAAATAAATAAAATTTGAATTTCTACTGGATTTTTTTTAAATTTTTGTGAATTCTACTGAGTATTCTTGGTTTAGAAATGTGTAGAATTAAATTTAAGAGGCAATACAATGGAAGAGAAGCACATATCAGTTCTTAGGCATTCCCTACGTGATGACTATGCTTAACTGCCTACTCTCCGCTTGGTATGCTGCTTTGCTTCTCACTCCTTCCAACTACTCTCTCTCTCTCTCTCTCTCTCTCTCTCTCTCTCTCTTCCGCTTGGTTGAAAAATTGCTAGATTTTTATGTAAAAAAATATGGATCTTGATATTGGGTTGGATGATACTGTACAATTATACCATGTTTTGTGTGTGACATAATAGTTTTGTACACTTCAATTATTAGTCCTGTGTAATTAATTAATAATTTGGATTAATTTAATTAATGTATTATGTATTATTTGCTTACATTTTACAATGGTTTGCTACTGTTTGTTTCGCATGAGGCTCTAGAACAATTTGAGAAAGAACAATACTTCTTCAAATCGTAGCCCTTCATATGTAATAGTTGCACAGGGTGTGTGGGGTTCAGTCCCAACGTCCCTTTATTTTTTTTCATTCCTATTTGTGTTCTAATTATTTTAGATTTTTAGGTTTTTGCTTTCTATTGGCTTTTTAATTGGATTTAGGATGGAGAGTACTGATGTATGCTTTCTGATTAAAGAGTTAGATGATTGTGGTTATAACGACACATTCCATCTTGGTGAAGTTGATATATTCTTTTTCTTTTTGGGATCCTTTTACTTTGTGTTGGTTTTTCTATGAAGAAATGCGATAACATGCTTCTAATAAAATTAGTTCTTCATAAAGGGTTTGCAACTGCAAATCAATAAATTTCAAAAAGAAAAAACAATGTTGGACTTCATTCGTCCATGGAGAGGAGAAAGCCAAAAAATTTATTATCTTTATACGAAAAAACAGGCTTTGTAGTTTGCACTTTATGTATTACTTCAATGTATTCCCAAGAAAAAAGTGAATCTCATATTTCATTATTTTCTTTTAAGTATAAACATATCTTTGTATACTGTTTAAAGACTAAAATTATTCATTGCAGTTTGAATTTGTCATAATTAAAATCAAGTTCATTATTACTTGGTGCGTGTTCTGCCAATGCTTTGACGTTAAACAATTGTACAGAAAAAATATCATAAGGAGATAATTGCAAGAAAAATAATAATAAAAAATGCAAGAATATCTAAAGCAACATATCTTTGGGGCGCATAGCACCCGTGATGCAAAAATGCCTCTTGCATGCGCGTGAGCACGTGCGGAGAGGCTAGTATTTTCAGAATTCTCGAGGAACGTGAGGTTATCATTCCTAGAATCGAGGATTTGGGACAAACCAAATACAACAATAAAGAGTGCTGCTAGATCGATACCATTGTTCTATTTCTCCACTTACATAAGGGAATAAAGAGAGGGAGGCCGACTACAGTAAGAGAGAAAAGAGAAAGATTTAATTGTGAGGTGTGCGTTGTATCACCCTACTGTGCCTTTATTTATAGTAGTAGGATAGGTAAAATTATTACCCTTTTAGGATTACAACTCTAATGGGATATTAACTACTAAAGAAATATTCAAATATATCCCTAGATACACTAGGATTTACATAATCACACATTCCTATTCTAAATATGACTGCAACACTCAAACAAAACATCGCATCAAATCTTCAGCAGATAAGGTAGAACAGTGGATAAAGTCGGCGGTACAACAAGCGAATGCGAGTCTCAAATTTAAAGAAAATATGCATTGGTACTAAAACTCACAAAACCTCACTATGGTAAATCCTAAGGTAGGTGAAAACCCATAGTCTAAGGAGAAAAGTGAGAAGTATGCATAATGTCTAAAACAAACGCCAAACAGGACAAAAGTAGTGAACTCAATGGAGTATGATCATCCCAGGATGGGTGCCTCATCAAAACCTCGTTAAGTAGCAAAAACCCAGTGGGAAAAATGCTCCTAATCGTAGGAAAAAGAGTACATTAAGATCAAGTGAGTATGCTTCAAGATACTCCTTTTGAGTTAGACATAACTTCCAAATAAGAGAACTATAAGCAATTCAACTCAGATAATTTACACATATTCCTTGGACAAGCTTCTAAAAAGTAGACTTGGGCAATGACTTGGTAAAGAGATCGGCTAGGTTGTCTTGAGAATGGATTTGCTTGACTTCAATGTTCTGATGTTGTTGTTTCTGATGAGAATAAACGAACTTTGGCGCTATGTGCTTAGCGTTGTCTCCCTTGATGTATCCCTTCTTTAAATGCTCAATACATGTTGCATTGTCTTCAAAGATTGTCATAAGAAAATTAATGACGAAAGTAAGACCACTTGTGCTTCGAATATGTTCCATGACTGCTCTCAACCAAAAGCACTCATGTGATGCTTCATGCAGGGCGACGATCTTAGCATGGTTCAAAGAAGTCGCAACTAGCGTTTGCTTGGTAGACCTCCAAGATATAACAGTGTCTCCAACAGTAAAGATATAGCTTGTTTGAGAACGTGCCCTATGTGGGTCAGACAGATATCCAGCATCTGCATAACCAACAAGGCGGGAATCAACGGGAAAACCGAGGGTGCGATGGCTCCTCTTGAGGATTCCAGGAGGGGTAGAACAATCCCAAATCTGTCATACCCTTGAGGTAGCGGAAAATGTCTTTAACACCATTCTAGTGTCTGCGTGTGGGTGCATTGTTGTATCTAGCCAAAAGATTAATAACGAAGGAGATGTTGGGTCTAGTGCATTGAGCCACGTACAATAAAGCCCTAACTGCACTTAGGTATGAAACTTCAAGCTCCAAAATCTTTTCCTTATCCTCCTTTGGATGAAAGGGATCTCGTTTAGCATCTAGAGTCCGAATGACCATAGGAGTACTCGAAGGCTTCGCTTTATCCTCATTAAAATGTCGCAACACCTTTTGGGTATAGTTTGATTGATGTACTAAGATTTCATCAAAACAATACTCGATCTCCAGGTTGAGATAATATCGAGTTTTCCCATGATCTTTCATCTCAAATTTCAATTTCTAAGTGAATGGTAATTTCCTTAAGCTTTGCGGGAGTTCCGATGAGGTTCATGTCGTCGACATAAACTGCAACGATCGTAAATCCAAAATGTGACTTCTTTATGAACACGCATGGGCATAATTCGTTGTTCATATAACCCTTACTTATCAGACATTCACTCAGACGAGTGACTTGTCAAATATTCACTCAGACGAGT